ACTTCCAATCACAATTTAACCACCCTCAACCAAGTTGTCAAGGCTATCCTATAAATAGAGATAAAGAGAGAGCAATGTAATAAGTGTTGTGAGAGCAAAAGAGTGAAAGTGTGGTGAGTGAAACTGTGAGAGTGAAAAAATACAGATTTAAGAGAAACACCGAGTGTAAGAGTGAAACACCGGGCTTTGTGGGATTGTACTGGGTTGAGTTGAGTGTTTGTATCATTCCTCCAATAATATATAATCTGCTGCCTCCATGAACGTACCTGATTTTGGGAAACCACGTAAATTTGTTATTTATGTTTTTTATTTGTGTTTGCTTTCGGTCCAGTATGTGCAACAAGTTCTTCTATTGCTGTTCCATTCAAGTACAAGTATCTTATATTCCTCGAAAAGTCGGGAATCCCGCTGATAGAAGAGCAGCCAGAGAAATCAGCAATTAGAAGAGATGTCAGCAAATACATGTTTTCTGGAAGATTCACCAAGAGGTTGCAGTTCCTCAAATTCAACGCCACAAGTCCGTTGAGTTCCCCCATTGATTGGGGAAGCTCTTCAACAGCAGTCTCATTTAAATTTAAATATGTCAGTTTCCTTGCAGTCTCTGGGCACTTCTTGAGATTTGCACAACCAGAAAGGTTCAGAGTCTCCAGACAACTTGAATTAATTCTACTGGGAAGATTGATTAGTCTTTTGCAGCCTCTCAAATCTAAATCAACAAGCTTGTCCAGATGCTGAACAGATGAAGGAAACTCAACCAAACTTTTACAGAATTGAAGATTCAATCTCTCAAGGTTTCTGGCCTTTGAAAGGTCTGGCAGGAAAGTTATGTGCTCACAATGGCTGAGGTTGACATCTTTTAAATTGACGAGATTCTGAAGCAAAATGAAATCAACAGAAAGAAATTACACGTGCATACCACGTGCACTTAATTTCAAAGAAAGAACTGTGCATGCATGGAGTTAATTTAGAATACCTGCTCTCCTCTCCACAGTTGGTTAACCTTGCTAGATGACAGGTTAATTTCAACAAGGTTTCGTGGACGAAAATTGCTAGGCAAAGATGTCAGAGGGTATCCATCCCAATGGAGATACCTCAGCTCTTCATAGTATCAAAAACACATCTCATTTAAAAAATTAAACTATTAGGTAATATTACAAGATATAATTTATATTATTTTCTAACATACTCACTCAAGTAAAAGTTTTTTGAGCTTGAAATTTACGCAAGTCCATATTACCTTGTGTTTAATTTTTATGAAATAAATAGAAATGATGAAATTTGAACTTGAGACTATTTGGTCAATCAGGCTTTGATATCATATCAAAAAACCATCACATCTAAAAACTTAAGCTATTAAATAAAATTTCAAAATATAATTTATATTATTATATAACACAGAACTTGAAACCATGAGGAAGGTGCACTCTACATTTAACCCCAGCTTCATAATTATAAATTTTTTGCGGTCTAAGTTTATACATCATTTCCAAGGCTGTATAACTCAACTCAATTTCTCTTATTTTTGAATCATCCAAGAATATCCCTTCAACTTTTCTGGTTCCCTGAAAACCAGTGATGGTAAACAAAAGTTTGAAGTAAAATTTTAAACTTACTAGTAAAACCATATTGCATTGCATATATAAAAAAAAAACTTTTATGTGTATGAATCTCACTATATTATTGGTCAAAACTTGATATATATCTTTGTTGTATATACTAGACAAAACAAATACAAATAAAACTCAAACAAGCAGATTTATATAGTTATCTAAAATTGAGTACATCCACGTAAATAATAGATTATATATTATTAGAGAAATGATACAAACACTCAACTTAATCCAATATAACTTCATAAAATTTAATATTTTAGTCTTATACACGGTATTTCTTTCAAATATATACTTGCACTCTCTCTTCCTTTTCAAAAATAAAAAGTAAAAAGTAAAGGGATGATATGTTGCAGATCTTCTTTTGTTCTGTTCTTTAATATAATGGACTTTGTGTAATCCACTAGAATAATGGAGGGCGATAAAAGGCAGAAATTATGGTGGAGACTTCTGTTATTGGATGGAAAGAAAAGTTAAGCACCTCGCAGTTACTGGATTATCTACACGTGGACAGTTTGGTGACATTGTAGCCATCAAAATGTGTAGTAATGCCCATCCATGCTTTGATTATTGTTTAATAATATATTAATTATCTTCGCACAGCAGGTTATATGGTGTTTTTATTTTTTTTTAAAAAAACAAATCTAAAATGTTGAGATGTAATATCATTTACTATTAAAAATACAAATATCATTTATTAATGTATTTGTGAGATGCAAATATCATTTACTATTAAAAAAATACTATACTCAATCTTGATTAAAGGATTGATGTGTAAAAACAACATTTACTATTAAAAAATTATAGTATCATTTGTATTTGTGAGATGCAAATATCATTTACTATTAAAAAAAATACTATACTCAATCTTGACTAAAGGATTGATGTGTAAAAATATCATTTACTATTAAAAAATTATAGTATCATTTGTATTTATGAGATGCAAATATCATTTACTTTTTTTATTATTATAATGTGAGATTTCACTTTTTCTTTATAAATTCAGAAACGACACTTTACATGTCAAGATATCATTATTGATATTATTTATAACTTTTTACATAATAAGTTAGCGTGTGAAAACTCAATCAACAAAAATTATAAAATTATTACATGATTGCCATTATAATTTGTATTCAGTTGTATTTCCACCGTGCCCTTTTTTTTTTAAATGAGTGGTATACGTATAATAAAAATTAATAATTTATAAATAGTCTTTTTTAAAAAAAAATAACCACCATAAACAACATGTAGTCTATCAAAATATTAAAACTTTAATTTAAACAAAAATCAAGTTGATTTAGGTTGATCAACTTATATATATAACCCGAAACGAGACTCCTTAACCAGATAAACCCTCAAATCGGATAACTATAACTTCAACCGTGAGAGAAGTAATTTGTGTTGAAGTAAACTCAATCTAGAAGGTCAAGAAAGGCAGCCACCAGCTGTCACCGCCCAGCCACCAACCGACCGGCCGCCAACCGCTTTCACACCGTCGGTCACAACCACCTTCACACTTGAAGGTTGAATTTTCTTGTTTTGATTTCGTGTATAAATAGATAGCTAAGGTTATGCAATTATGTGTGGAGAAATTGAGAGAAACACTAGAGAGAAAGAGAGAGGGGTTGTTGTAAGCTTTTGTTTATGTTATTGTAAGCTTTGTTCTTGAAATAAAAGAGTGTGTTTTATCCCTTCTGAGTATTTCAAAGCCACCACAAGTGGTTTCTCCCACCAACAAGCACATGGCTGAATCAACAGCACTTTGTTTTTGATCTGTTATCATTTATATTTTTATTTCTGTAAGAATTGAAGAAGTTATTTGACTAACATGGATAGAAATTGATCAGAGACCAGACAAGAAGAAAATTACTGGATTGGAGCAAGTGCATGAACATTATTGTTGGAATTGCTCGAGGGCTTCAGCACCAAGACACCAGGCTGAGAATAATCCATAGAGATATCTTGCCCACGCGCCCCGAGAAAGAAGATGAGTGAGCCACATGCGCGCCATATTTGAGGCAACATTTTACTAGATAATGAGCTGAACCCAAAAATTCCAGACTTTGGCCTTGCTAGAATGTTTAATGGAGATCAAACGGAGACCAATACTCAGAGGGTGGCTGGAGCATAGTAAGTTTCCATAATCTAGCCTGGATGATTTTCATTTGTGTTCTGAGATTTTTTTATTTTGTTCATTATTAATGTTCTTCGGTGGCTACATGTCTCCTGAGTATGCATCAAATGGACACCTCTATTATGTGTCCATACTCTAGCAATGTGTCTGAAGTGCTAAGATGCATTCATGTGGCTTTATTATGTGTGCAACAATGAAACGAAGATAGGCCAAACATGCCGACTATTGTTCAAATATTAGGCAATGAGAATCCATTGCCTCAGCCTAAACAGCCTGGATTTTTCATCGGAAGAAACCCACTTGAGCAGGATACTTCATATAACAGGAACAATGTTTACTCAGAAAATGAAGCTAGTTTGACGTCATTAGAGTCACGGTAACTCATCCCTTGAAAAATTCAAGTAAAAGAGAGAGATCAGACTAAGTCAATCAATAAGATTTCATCGTTTCACAGCAATTCTATTTGCTGATATCCAATCTTGTTTTCAACCGGTTCTACCGTTCCAAAATGGCATGCTCGAGCTATATATATCTTAATAGAATAATCAGTTTATCAATGCCAGCCAAGCTGGCCACTCGTGCTTGCAATGGATCAGACATGATAACTACCTGGTTTGCGTAAGCTTCATTTTCATGGTAGACTTTTCTCATTTTATTTCTCTTTTCCCTTCGTTGTGACTTGTGCTACATGAATTTTGATAATAATTAGCCTCTTGGTATTAATTGTTTATTTATTATTTTATCTTCATCCATTCTCAACATTGAGCACCTTCCTCTATATTTTGTCCGACGAAACATACCGTTGTGTTTTGCAATTTTATTGAAACAGTCTAGTCGATCGTTATTAAGTTATCATATACTACAATGAAATTATGATTATTGTTCATCTTTTCCTTGCCTGCCTGTTATTATTAACCTTCCGTTTTGTCTTTGCTCTGCTTTCTACCTCTGCTCTGAACAATACATGAAAATGGTGTTTCAGTGCATTAGCTATTAACAAGAACAGCAAGCAGCATCACTTCCAATACGCAAAGATAGCTTTGATTCATTATAAGTTCACAGGTCATTTGAAAAAAGCCTAACAATCTCTAATGTCATAGATAAATAGTTCTGGATGATGCCTCCATTTCAACCTCAAAAATCAAGTGCATCTACTGGTCTAATTGTGTATATATACTAAGCTGAAGCTTTGTCAGAGCCAAGCCTCAAGCCGAGCCATGAGCCATATTCCAAAGCCGAGCCGCGCTCCAAGCCATATTCCGAAGCCAAGCCAAGCTCTGAGCCATATTCTAAAGACAAAG